CCCCGCACACACGTACGCCCCGACGCGGGGCTGTGGGACCCCTCCTACACACACACACACACACACACACACACACACACACGCACGCACCCCTACACCTAGACGCACACCCTGGCCAGGGGCGTGAGACCGCCTCAAACACCCACACAGCTACACACCTACAACTACACACACAGCCCGACCAGGTGGGTAAGAATGCCTCCTCCTCCCGCCACGGACACCTGCACACACAGCCCGGGGGTGAGACTCCCTCACACACACACACACACACACACCTACACCTACACACACCCATACCCACACCCCGATACACCCTTACACCTACACACAGCCTGGGGGTGAGACTCCCTCACACACACACACACATACCCCTACACCTACACACACACACACACACACCCCGATACACCCTTACACCTACACACAGCCTCGGGGTGAGACTCCCTCACACACACACACACATACCCCTACACCTACACACACACACACACACACCCACACACACACCCCGATACACCCTTACACCTACACACACAGCCTGGGGCTGAGACTCTCTCATGCGCACACACCCCGCTACACCTACACACACACAGACTCCGCTACACCTACACACACACTGACCTGGCAGTGTTAAAGCCCCTTCAAGCACATCAACACCCCTACATGCGCACACAGTCCATCTCGGCAGTGTAAGACCCCCTCACACCACACACCCAAACTTACACCTGCACACACAGCCTGACCAGGAGCTGTGAGCCCCGCCTCACACACATGGACACACTCCTACAACTACACACGCAGCCTCGGCTGTGCGAGACCCCCCTCACACACAACCCCCAACCCTGTGAGCGGTGGGACCCCGTGTCTCAGGGCAGGGGGTGTCCCCAGAGCACCCGCTGCTCCAGCGCAGGGGCTGTGTGTGACAGTCGCGTCCCCCCCTGCAGCAGCTTTGTAGACCCCGAGGTGACCAAGGGTAGAAACCTGCCCGAGAGCCGCCTGCCCAAGTCTGTCCTCCGCGCCAGCGAACATGCCCAGCAGCTCCTGGACATCAAGGTACTGGCCATGTCTCCAGGTCCCGCTCCATGCCCGCAGCTGGGCTGAGCCGGGGAGGGTCATGGCCTCCCATTAATGGGACTAGTCAAAGGCCTTGCAACATTTCGAACGTTTCAGCAGTCAGATCCCCCCTTAGTGCTCCGTTCTTGATGGCCTTGCAGTAACGGTTTCTTCTGCAGTGTGAGGTGAGCATCTCAGGTGAGATGCTGTCTCCTGAGCGATCACCTGAGATGCCAAGCTGCGTCCATAACCTCAGATGGAGGACTTGGGGTGGCATCAGACATAGCTGAAGCTTCATGCATGAAGTTCCCTTCAGCTCCCCGCTTCGTGCAGCCAACTTGGTGGAAGGCACCAGACTGATGGGAACCTCTCAGTAGCTGTGGGCTGAGACCTTCCTGGCAGTTGGGAGCCCACAAACATTTGGGATATGTGTTGCAGGAACTCGGGACAGCGCAGCCACAGTGAGCAAGATTAGGTCTAGCACCTGAGCTCTGCTTTGACACCAGTTTGGGCTTGCTGTGCATGTGTGCCTGGAGCTGTGCCATGCCCATGGTGTCGGGTCACCAGAATCAAGAGACACGGGGACAAGCGACCCCCTTACTCAGGAGAGGCTGCATGACCATGAGCGTGTAATGTGGCATGAAGGCATGTGGAGCACTGTGGTGCTAAGGGCTGACGTAAAGCTCATTAGCTTGCTCCGTAAATCCCCATCAGGAGCCACTCATCAGGAAGTGACCACATTATTACTGACCGGTTTTATAATTTGGGCCTTGTATGGATTGGGTGTAAGATGCAGGGTTAGACCGTGCACTGAGCGGAGAAGCCAGGAATTCCAGACACTGTGACTACTGCCCTCCTGGCCTGCTTCTTACAGTGGTATAAAATGAACGAGGATGGTCTGGACAATTTTGTCAGTCCAGTGTTTAGAGTGATACTCATGGATTTGGGAGTTTCCTTGTCTAGGGGTCATTTGGACAGTACTTGGGGATCTGCCAGGGGATTCCCCCACAGCCTGGCATCACTTTGGAATTCTTTACTCTGAGGTTAAGCTCTTTGCCGGAAAATATTGCATTTGTTTTCTTAAAGATAAAACGCTTGGAAGACACTAAAAAGAAGACCGAACTTTACCACAAACGCTTAAGGCAGCAGTTTCTGAAAGAACAAGAGAGGAAGATGGCACGATGGAAGAAGGCGTCTGAAAGGTTTCAAAAATCTTTGGAAGTGTTCAGCCGCAAAGCTGGGACATTGTCTGTGCCTCCAGCTGCTGGCTTGTCCACGGGGAAGTCCCAAGAAAGTGACTCCAAAGCGATGCCCTCAAAACACTCAGCCGCTACAGACCGAAAAATGACCAAGGGAGATGTTTAGAGAGCTCCTCCTGCTGGCTCCTCATGCCAAGCTACCCGCCTCGCCAGTCTGTCTGTTTGGGAAGCTAATGCTAGGTCTCGTCACATCAATAAACCAGCATGAACCCATGGGATCCCTCGTATTGCTGCCATTGAGTCTCTAACCTTTGTGAACACAGATGGGGCTGCTGTGATTGCAGGGCTATAGGCTGGGGACAGTATAGGCAGCAGGGCAGCGGCAGGAATAAAAGACACTTTTAAAAGGGGACTGATTTCCTTTGAGGCGGTGGAGGAATGATGTGAACAGGATAGATTTCTGTCTTGTGTATTTGGAGAGCTTTATTCTTGGTCCAAACAGGATACATTTCAAGTCTAATCAGATTTTCACAAATGTTACGTGAGGTTCAGGGAAAGAAAATGAATCCCTTGTTGGGAAGAAAGATGGTCTGATAACTTAGAAGCCTGGAAGCAAAAACAAGAAATGGATATGGACGGAGAGGCGACAGCTCAAAGCACTGAATGCAGCTAACTGCAGCACTCATCGTGTTTGCTCTCCGTATATAGGGGCTGGGTTTGTGGGGACAGGGATAAAACCCACCGTGTGTTGGCTCGAGCGCTGAGCAGCGTCCTCTCCACGCCGGAGGGCCCTGGCTTTTGCTTCTCGTTTGCTCATTTGCTGTCTCCCTTTATTTTGATGGGCAGGCGGAAGCTCTGCCCTTGTCCAGCCTGCAATCACTTTAATCGGGAACATCCCAGCAATTCCTGATGCGCAAAGCTGGGGTAACGGAGTGGGGAGGGACGGTGCCAGCTGGAAGCAAGCGCACATTTCCCTTTCTCATTGGTGGAAGAAATACATTAGCTGGACAACAGAAGGTGAGCAGTGCATGGGGAAGGCGGTTAGAGGCTGCTCTGCTTCCGTCTGCCTTTTCCCAAGGCAGAGCCTTTCGGAGTAACAGCTGAGCCGCGATGGGATGTGGGATACCGGCTTATCACAGAAATGCAGAATGGGGCATTTAACTGATCAGCCAGCCTGGTTCCTGTGTTGTGGATTAAGGGAACATTCACTGTCCTTGAAAAATGTTCATCAGATTTGTTTATAAAACCTTTCAGTGAAGGAGATGCTACAATTTATCTAAGTGCCTGGTTCTCAGTCAGGTTTCTGTATTGCAGCGTAGTTTTTTTAACATTAATCTTTTTTGCTTCAAATTAACTTGATCACTCTTAATGTTTCCCAGTGGCCCGAAGAAATAACTGGATGTTGGAGCAATCCTGTCATGTTCTCACTCATTGTTTTCTTTACTAGAATAAATAAATAAATAAATAAAATCCCAGTACCTTCAAGCTATCCTGCTAGGTTGAACTTTCCATGGTGAATTTACATGATTAATGCCACCAGGACAGTGTGCCTGACAAGTTACAGTTCAATGCTCAAAAGAATGGAGGTGTCAGGCCTCCACTAAGCAACCTTGTTTCTCAGTTCATTATAAGGCTGTTTTTTAAAGAAACAGCAAACTTCCCCGTAACGTCTGGTCCTTGAAAATGGTGGAATTTCTTCCTATTTTCTTTGCTGGAGATTTTCCAATAATTCAGCCAGGCTCAGACACCTGACAGGAATAAAATTTCAAACCAGTTTGTCTGGCAAAGCTCCACATCGTAATAGCTAAAGGGCTTAGACGAAGTGCCTGGCAGCCCTCTCTTCAGGGGCACCGTGTTTTACCTCTGGGACAGCCCCACAGTAACAGACCCTCTGCCTTGGGCTGCCTGTCCTGGAGGACCTGCTCCTCTCTAAAGGCATCTTCTCAAAGGCGCTCCGGAGAGTGGCTGAGAGACACCACCCAAATGCTCTAGGGAGAATTGAGTTAGAAAATCATAGGCATGGGAACTGGCTTCCACCCCCAAATCTCTAACTTTCTTGCTTTCCCCAAGCACTTCAGGCATTTTCTTATTGTTCTTCTTTACTACAGCTATGATAAATTTGCCCTCTGCTGTTCACTCCATGAACAGATCCTTTTGACCTGGGTCAGGGAGAGTCCATGCTGCCTCCTGGATCCTGCCCAAGAACCTACCAGTGACATCCACGAGAAATCATTAGCAGAGTTCGCTGCCTAGCAGCCCTGCATCTGCAGCCTTTTTTTATTCTTCTCTTTTTTTCCTGCTACATTTGTCCAGGGAATTGTGAATTTGTTTTCATGGTCATAGTTGTTGGACAGGACAGACGGTAAATGTGTTTGGTCATTTTGGCACCAGTGGCAGAGCGTTATCTACCTACCAGTTGGCTTGCACAGTGCTAAGAAAAAAAAAAAGAAAGAAAAAAGAAGTGTGTTGAGGGTGGGAAGCAACAAAACACAATCAAGAAGCAAATGATCAAGTAAGTTTCTGGAGGGGAACCTGGAGGTTGTTACCCAGGGGTGACCTGTGCTGAGTATCCCTGGGAATTTTGTTGTGGGAAAATGCTGTGAGAAAAGAATTGATTTAAAACGGAGTGAAGGTGTCTGGATTTGGCCAGACAGTCGTGTGTTACAAACAACACTTAAGTGATTGTTTGGATATTTGGATACCGCCTCGAGCTCCTGGCTCCTGTCCGCTTGTGAAATGCACCAGGCTGCCCCAGGCGCGCGGGGCTCCTGCAGCCCAGCCCTGCCCAGCACCGTCCAGGACAGCCGGCAGGAGGAGGAGCAGGTGGGAGTGTGGACAAGGTCCCTTCTCTCTCTGAGAGCCTCTCCTGCTCTCAGCAATCTGACTTGCTCTCCGTGACCTTCGGACTCTCCTGCATGGGTCTGGCCTCCGCAGCACCCCGGGGCAACGACACCAAGGTTTTCATGATGCAATGGGACAAGCTGCTCCTTTAGTTTCTCTTAAACCTCCTATTTGCAGTTTCATGATGCACACCTGGTTCTTGTGTGAGGAGAAGCAATGACTGACATTGCTTCATTTGTTTGTTTTCCCCCTAGTTTGTGATTTCAGAGTCCCCTCTGCCCCTCTCCATCGATCTCCTTCCTGGCGTCAGGCATTCGCAGCTTTGTTCTGCCCTGCAGCCTGCCCAGGGCCTATGAATATTTCAGTGTTGTGGTTGAGGTAACAGTTAACATCCACCCATCTCCAAGATGGCAAAACCTGCACGGAATGGGTCATGGGGTGATGGCCAGGGCAACAGGTGGCTGTCCCCCTTTCCTGGTAGGTTCTCAGCCCTGTCCTGTGCCTGGCCACAAGTCACTCTGGTGATGCGTGGCCTATGGTCCCTGTTCTTCCCCGGTGTGTCTGCCAGGGTCTTGGCAGGTCTTTGCACGTGGCAGCACACAGGGACACCCAGGGATGTCCTCTCCCTTTTGCCGTGAGAGCTGCTCTCTGTCTACCCATGCTCTGGCGTGTGGTGGTAAGAGGGACAACTCAGCCCCTCTGTGCATCCCTGTGTCTCCCTGTGCTGGAGGAGGCTGCTCACCAGCGGTGGTTTCTCAAGATTTCTTTGTCAGGACAAGAAGCCTCAAACAGGAAGGGACTGAACAGCAGCAACTGCAGGAGTGGAGGCTCCTATTGCTGTTCAGTCCCTTCCTGTTTGTCTTAGCAGGCCGCTCCTTGCCTGTCCACGTGGACTCACGAGCCTGGACTGCAAACGTCTCCTGCTGCTCTCTGCATCAGCTGCAGGAGCTCAGACAAACACCGAGCCCTCCCCACGTCCTCTCTCCACAGGAGCAAGTTAGGAGATGGGGATTTGTCCTGAAACAGTTCTGTTAAATGAACTTGTTTTTGTTGTTGTTGCTGCATTAGAGCACAGAGAGTGTGAAAATCTGGAGTGGCAAATGTGCAAGTTGCACTGAGCTGTGATAGACACTAAAATGAAGAGCTCCTTGGAGCGGGGCACTGAGTAGAGCATTAGGGACCTCGAGGTAATTGATAGCATCAGCCAGGTGTGTTCCCCGAACTGTGAACCACAGCTTGCATTGAGATGAGAGCAGGCTTCACAAACCCCTGAGCGGAACAAGGAACCTCTTGTAGGGATGGTCACGTAGGGGCGCCTGTGACATCCTCAAGGCTCTGAAGGGAGTGGCTGCCACCACCAGCTCATGTGCCCCATGCCAGAGGAGCCAGGGCAACGGGCTGCGTGGGGAGCCCCACAGGCTGCAGTGGGGTTGGGGCCACGCGTGTCCTACTGTCCCCTGCAAGAAGACGACAGAGCTGCAGGGTGAGCTGCGGGCCTTGAAGCAGCGCACTCGGAGGAGCCTCCTCCTGGGAGAGCAGCCCAAGGCCAGCCGGGAGCGAGGGCTGGAGAGCTCCAGAGCCCCCGGAGAAGCCAGCTGTCTCGGGGGGACACAAGGGTGCCGCGCAATCAGCAGCGCCCACCACACACGTTTGCGGTCGTGCTGGCTGCTGTCTGGCCGAGGTCCTCTCCGGCTGACCCTGGTGAGCAGCGGGCAAAGCCTGGAGCCCCAAGGGCTGGTGACACCTCCAGCTGCTCCAACTGTCCCCATTACCCTCCCGGCACTAGGGTGTGACAAGGAAATCTCTGGGTGTCATTTCCTGCGTGCAGCCACAAACTGCTCTAGACCCTCACGCCTGGTCACCTCAGAGCGCTGCTGTGTGTTAGCTAAGCTGGGCTCAACCCACGGGTTGCCAAGTGGTGTGCAAGGAATGCAGGTCAGAGAGAAGCCTGCAGGTGAAGAGTGACAAAATGCTCCCTCTCCCTCCCCTAAGAAATAGAAATAAACACGATACAATAAGAAAATATGGGACGCGTCACTGGTATTTTTAATAATGTTCATGTGTTTCTAATACATTTCTGAGGGCAAGAAGTCTGGGTCGCTCCCACCTATTCTCCGTATGGGGGAAGAGCAGGTCCTTGCACTCAAGGCAAGAGGGAGGAACTGGAAAAACAAGCCAGAGCTGCAGCAGGGCAGTGGTCAGGGACCGGGATTCGGTTTGGTGCCTGGTTTGGAGCCAAAGCTCCACGTTCCCAGCAGCGCGACGCAAGGTGGCTGCACCAGCTCCTCTGCAGGGTGCAGCTCCCCGCACGGCTCAGGCGGGCGATGCCACACGTGGTGGCAGCCTGCGAGGGGCTCTCCTCTCTCCTCTCTCTGGGTCCACGGCAGCTCAGCAGCCCGGAGCCAGGAGCATGACAAGAGTTCCCAGCTCGGAGCTGGTGCGCAGCAGAGAAGACACTGTCACTGCCCAGCTCTGCTTCCACAGCCGCCTTCTGCAGCGTCAGGAACTTGCACGCGGGGCCTGGCAGAGGGGACCGTCCCTACAGTGACGCTGGCTCGGGGTGCGGTGACGCTGCAGCCTGCCATCTCAGGGTGCTCCCTTCTTTTGCCATCGTTTCTAACTGGTGTAATCTACTCCCTACCCTGCTGCTGGATGTCCCCTCCTGGGTGGCAGCAGGACCCAAGGCAGGGAACTGATCTGGGCAAGCCTGGATGGTGGCGGATCGCAGCTTTCCACGCGGATCAGCGAGCTGCGTGCTCCCACGCGCCGAGCCTCGCGCTGCGGCCACGAAGAGGGATGAGACCATTCCAGAGCCCTGGCACAGGCGGCCCAGAGAGGCTGTGGAGGCTCCTTCTCTGGACATCTCTAAACCCGCCTGGATGCCACCCTGTGCCCCGTGCTCTGGGTGTCCCTGCTGGAGCAGAGGGGATGGACTGAATGATCCCTAGAGGTCCCTGCCAACCTCAACCCTTCTGTGATTCTGTGGTTACTGCCTTTCAGTGAGGGGTTAAAAATCCTGCGTCTGAAGAGTGGTTCAGACGGGGAGGTGCAAACACAGACAGGGCCAGGCGAGTCTTTGATGTTTTGTTTGCAAGGTGAATTCTTTCAGGATGGACCTGAGGGTTTGTCCTACATCCCGGACAAGAAGGGTGACACACAGCTCTGGTGACGTTCCGTACAGCTCCCAGATCTGCCAGGTTTCATTCCTGGTTGAAAAGCTGCTCCTGGCCAGGAGGCGGTGCCGGGAGCCACAGGACGAGTCAGACCGCTCTGAGCACCGGCCACCACCCCCACGGCAGCCTCCAGAGCGAGATGTCTCCAGCCAAAGCTGAGAGGGAGCTGCAGCGCTCCAGGGATTTTCCTAGTTAAGAGGAGGTCTGCATGTGACACACAGGCTCAGCCCTTTCCCCTGCTCTGCTCTCAGATTCCAAGGATCCTTGTGTCCCTTCCACAGGCAGTGCAAAGGGTACGTGGGACAATTATTCATGGTGACTGATCCTCTCTCCAGGTCAGGGCCATAAGGAAGTTGGAGTTTCCTCTTCTCAGTGAGCAGCAGCCCATTTCAAATGAGGCAATCTAGACACTCAGCAGCTTTGGAAAAACATTCCAAGGCTGGTTTTAGTGCCAAGATGTCCTCGGGTCAGGATGCAAGAGGGGGTGTTTCTGAACAGCCGTGACGATCCCAGACGATGCTGCCCATGGTGTCCCGCAGGCGCCAGGCCGCTGCTCAGCGCCTGCCCCTTCCAGTGTTGGGCATTTTGCTGGGTCTCCTCCTGGAAGCACAAGGCTTCCTCTCCCCCGCAGACGCCTCCGGCTGATCCCTCAGCAGGGCGAGGGCAGGACATGCACCGAGTCTGAAGGGCCAGTTTGTTCTCTGCAGGCATCGCTACCTCATGGCTAATCAACTAACCGGGCACACCTGGCATCCGTATCTCTACCAGCAGGAGCCTTCTGGAGTTTATTAGCATTTTAATAGCCACAAACACAGTCTGATATGAAATGACTCTTCCTTAATAGTACAGTTAGGTTAATTGCTTGCTTGCTGATGCTCAAACCCCCCTGGACTTTATATTCTGCCCAGTCTGGCTTTGCTACGTGACCTGAATTCCTGTAGCCCTGGCCTGGCCGACACGCGTGCGCTCCCTGCGACCTTGCGAGACCCCTTTTTTCAGCACATCGCTGCTCCTGAACCATCTCTTCCCACCAGGGCCCAGGCGAAGGGCCCCATGGAGCCCGGCTGTGCCGGAGGTGACTGGTGGCTCCCGGCACCTCGACTGTGGCATTGGCGGCTTCCCCGACACGTGGCCCGGTACGCCAAGCCCTTTCCGAGGGGAGGTCGAGTGTGTGCTTGCGAATGTGCTTCCCCTGCTTTCCTTCTGCTCCTTTACCTTGAGTCCAAGGGTATGCTGTTATTAAGTTTATTTTTCAACTTAATTTTAGAGCACGTTTAGCTTAATTTTAGGAACACGTTGCCTGGTGCTCAGGGGGTCTGGAGGGAAGGCAAGCTGCAAGCCGCCCTTGGCTAATAGATGCCAATTCCTTAAGGAAAACGCCCGTTCCTTTCCCCTCAGGTCACGCGTCTCCCTCTCGCGTCTCGCCGCGCCCCGAGCCTCCCCCAGCCAAGATGCCCCTGCCCGCCGCCCCCGCGCGGTCGCCTAGCAACGCGAGGCCTCCGGCGGCCGCCTCGGTAGTGCCCGCGGGGCTCGGAGACTCCCCGGGCCCGCGACACCCCTGGGTCCAGCTCAGACACCCCCAAGATGCTCCTTGGGCCTCTGCTCCCCAGCCCCCACGATACCCCCCGGGCCTCCGCACCTCCGCTCCTTTGGTCCTGGACCCCCTCGATGCACCCAGCCCTTCCCGTATGTGGCCCTGGCACCCCCCACCTCTCCGCCAAGATACACCCGGGTCGTCTCTCCCTGCCAGGCCCGAGACCCGCACCCGGGGGTCCCTGCTTGCCCCCGGCACCCCAGGCCTGCAGCCCCCTCACAGGGGGTACCCCCAAAGCTCCCCAAAGACCCTTGCTCAGGATCCCAGGGAGCCCCAGCTCTCTGACAACCCCAGACCCACCCAGGGGGCTCTTCCCTCCCTGGTCATGCAACTCTGTCCCTTCCCTGGGCCCTAGTCCCTGCAGCTGGTGATTTCCAGCTCACCCGTTCCTTAGGCAGTGCTCAGAGCTTCCTCCCAGTCATCCTTCAGAGTTTATGGCTTTTCTTCCTTTCCCACGGGTGTTCTTGGATGTTTAACAGCCCCTCGGGACGGAGACCCGTTCTGATGTGAAACCCCAGTGCCTTGTGTGCCCACACCCAGGCACAGCTCCAGGGTAATCTGAAACTTCCCCGTTTCCCCAAATGATGCTGATAATGCTTTCCTCAACTTTCCTTTAGAGAGAAAATTGGAGGAAGAAGAATTGAAGAAGAATTTGCCCCAGAAGCAGCAGAGGGATCTTGATGGACTTCGGCTGAGTCATTCCCTGTGGCTTTACCCTGCGAGGAGACTTTGTGTCCCTCCTAGACCTCCAGATGCTCAGCCTGGAAGCGTTTAACTGATGCCATGGCAACAGGAAATCCAGCTGTGCCCCAGGGATCATCTCAGGACGAGAGGGAAAGAAACAAGGCACTGACAGAAGGCATCCACGCTCCAAAGAAGGGAGTGATCAGATCAGATGCCGTGAGGATGTTAGGTCCAAGTCAGCCAAAATTCGATACTCAAGAAACGCAAAGAATCATATCGGTCTTGGACGAGACGATTGTCAAGCTGGAACTGAGCAGTTTGATCCCCTGCATCTTGGACTCTCTGGACAGCTTTGCTGATATGCTGGGACCTGAGCTCACGAGCGGCCTGCTCGAGCACCAAAAGCTTTCGAGCAAAGTGGAGGACCTACTTTCCAGCTCTCGAGAAGGGGAGCCCTCGCCAGCTGAGGAACAGAGGGACAGTCTTTGCTTGCTGGAGGAGCATCTGAAAACTTCTGTTAGGAATATTCTGAGGCTCCTGCTGGCCAACCCTTCGCTTTGTCACGCTCTGCCTTTTGAAGTCTGTGCAAGACAGTCGTCGGCTGAAGCGTTTATCCAAGCCTTTAGGGAGTTCAGGAATTTCATGCACGAGAGACTCCTGACTAGTCCCTTAGAAGAGAAAGAGAAGATTCAGTTCATGGAAGACATCTCCCTCCGGATTAAGAGAAACGCTGAAACACTCACAGCTTTAAAGGCAGAACTGGCAGCAACGATCCAGGCTCGAGATGAAAAGGTATGGTACCGTGGGGATGTTTTCTGACAACAGGTCAATGAAGCAAAGCTTGGGTAAACTCAGAAATAATCCTTCTCTTGCAGATCCCATCCAGGCAGTGATGATTTGTAAGGCAGACCCTAAATTAAAAGATACTTCCTTCATTGCAAAATTATTTTAAAAGGCTTATTTCATGCTTGATTTTTAAACTTAAGTCTCACGTGCTTATATCCTGTTCTCACTGGCAGCTTAAATCACAATGGAAAACACCAAGCTTAAAAGGGAGCTGTAGAAAAGGCACAAATTGCTGCAAGTGTATTTTGGCAGGGCCACAACGTCGACTGCTGCTGAGTGGCTCTATTCACTGCTGATGAAATGCTGGGAAGTCACTCCAAGGGGAGATTGCCCTGATTAAAATGCATTTTTAATATCTACTCTGCCTTCCCTCTTGCTTAAAGCCAACATTTCTTTGTCTTTCAATTCTAAAATACTGGCAGCCGTAGAACATGTGTCTAATGCCTGGTAACACAGTTCCTTCGCTTTTGCACTGAAAGCAACAGAGGTTCAAATAAACACATGGACATGCCCAGATCTTTGTGTGGGCCAGAATTTGAGGTGAATTTGAGCCCTGAACTCCTGACAAGCAGTTCCTTGTTTTCCATGTCCGCTTCTCTTTCTCCTTTTGGCAAGAGGGGCCAGGGAAGCAGGTCCTGTCCAATGCCGAGTGCGCGGAATGGTGCCAATGGAGACTAGGGGCTGCCTTCCCCATTCCCTCTGCCCTGTGGAGATCTGTGAGTGGAGACACTTGACATGTTTATTGCAATTTGGCAGCGTGTCCGGGGCGTAATGAATAAACCTATTTTGCTGGTCCCAGCTGAGCATTTCTTTTGCAGGCAGCCCACTGAGCTGAGGCCCCAGCACTGGCCCTTGGAGCCTAACGCGAAGCTCGGTGAAGCCGCTGGGCTGTGGTCTTGTTCAGATGGGTCAGCAGCCATGGAGGCTTCCTCAGATGACAGTGCCTGTGGGTCTCTGTGCTTCTTGTTCCATCTCTGGCCTTATTTACAGGTTCACAGAGGAAGAACAAGAGGTTTCTACAGCATCGGGCACTAACCTAACTCTTTTTCCTATGCCAGAGGTCTTGTGATTATTACAAACTGGTCAGAGTTCTGCCCAAATGCAGGTCTCTGTTACACAGACTCCCAGAATGGCTGAGGTTGGAAGGGACCTCTGGAACCAGAGCAGAGCTCTTAGACCTCCTCCATCTCGGCAACCAGCCTTATTTCTGCTGCCACAGATGCCTCACCTTACCCTCCATTTCTTCTTTGTCTTGCTTTCTGGGTCTAGATTCACAGGAAGGACAACGTGATCAAGGATCTCAAAACCTCCTTGCAAGATGTGGCCAACAACTACCAGATCAGTGTCCTGCAGATTACACAGGACGCAGAAAACCAGCAAAAGGAGGAGCTGCGAGCTTGGCAGGCCAGGCGTGCGAGGCTCCAGGAGGACCTGGAGCAGCTGAGAGCACAGCTCTGTGCGCTTGTCCTGGAGCACCGGGAATCGGAGCTGGCCCTCAGAAAGGTAACGGGGAAGGAGAGCTCGAGTCCGGGAAGTTTAAAACTCGTGGAACTGCTGTCAGCTCTGTCTGCTTCTGGAAATGGCTTGGTTCCTTCTAGTTGCTGGCAGGATGCATATGCTGTTTGTCAGAATACACCTGCTCTTTGCTCCTGCTCTGCTGATTTCAGTGGAAGGCAGCCCTGCAGCGGCTCCGAGGATGCCGCTCGCTCACGATCCTCCTTTCCAGCCCGCCTAGCTCTGGGGACAGCCCTGCCTGGCGCCGCACACCGGGGAGCCGAGCTCTGCTCGCGTTCAGAGCGGCAGGAGAGCTGCTCGCGAGGCCTGTGTTGAGGAACGAGGGAGGAGGCATGGGCTAAACAGAGCAAACATAACATTGGCTGTATCTGAAGCTATCTTTTATAGCTTATTGTTTGTTGTCCCCAGGGCTGAATGCAGCTGGCCTTGGAAGCTAGGCAATTCCCAGTCTGAGTGGTACTTTGCTAAGAGACACAATCCAAGGAGCCAGGGTTGAATCAAAAGAAAGGGAAATGCGATTTATCACAGTGATAAAAGGAGAAGATAAAAGCAGCAGACAGGCTCAGGTCTCTGTGTCAACAGCCATGGCCTGAGCAGAGCATCTTGGTGACATGTGCCGGTCACCAATCTGGAGAATCTGGAGCTACAAGACAGAGCAGATTTGCCCCTCATTTTACCCCAATGTGGTGTTTGCTGCAAGCAAGCGCTGAGCTCCTGTGCAGAGCACAGCACACCCCAGTGCATCAGTCACTCTTGCAGTTCAGTAACTGTGCAGCCCTGGCAGAACAAAGCAGCAGTGACAAAGGGTCACGGGACATGGGCTGCAGGTGACTTGTGATGAGCTGTTCAGCTCAGTCTAGTGCTCAGGCAGAAAGAGAGAGATTTAATGACACAGGAGCTTCCTTTCCGCTTCCTCAGCCCATGCTTTAGCCTTGGGTGACTCAAGACTTTTTGTGCTTTTGGTATAAACAGTTGGGAGTATCAGGTCTGCCTTCCTGATGGTCTGGAAGCCCTTGGGACATCCTGAGCCAGTGTCACGCAGGAAATTGTGTGGTTTGTGTGATGGGCTCTAGCTGATCTTCCTCTTGGTGATTCCATGGAGCGTGAGTACAGCAGCTGGGGTAACCTGGCCATACCAGGTCATTCTGCAGGGTCAAGCCACTGCTGAACAGATTTGCAGATAGGAATCTCTCTTCATTTTAAGAGGCTCCATCTGTTGAGTCTTTTCTGTCCAGCTTTCATGTTCAGCAGCTCCCTGCTTCTTCCATGTGGGGGTGGATTTCCCAGTCTGTTGATGCCTTAACTCATTCCATCAGCTGTGCTCATCTCTGACATCAGGGCACACCTTGCAGACGGGGCTCAGTACTCAGCCCTCACCCAGTCCCATGCTGTAAACCCAATATGGCCCTTTTGGCCTCAGGGAGTAGAGGCTGGGCACAAGAAAATCCCCAAAATAGGGGCAAAAAATGTCAGCTAGACGTGGTGTGCCAGAAGGAGGAGGTGTTTCACTGTTTTCTAACTTGGGTGGCTTTTTACCAGGCTTCGCGTGCCTGTGAGTAACATATCCTGTTGTTTGTTTCAGAAGAAGTGCAAAGTAGAGATGGAAATTGAGAAGTGGATCCAGAAATACGATGCGGACATGGGGGAAAAACAGGTATCCTCTTTAAGGTGCTTCCCTGAAGTGATGTGTCCAGGTGGATCACTGTGCAAACAGATGTGTGGGTCATACACAGGAGGGTAGGGAAGGGACGGACAACCTACCACACAGAAGTGCAGGCTTTGGAATGAAATATTCCTTTGTCCTACTAAGGTGTATAGTTCTCTGCTGTTTTTTTTTTTTTTTTAGGGAACTGTTGTTAAATCCAACAGTATTTGGAGGCTGATGGATTGCTTCCAGCCTGCCAGACATACCCACTTGCTGTTAGAGAAGAGGGCTTTCACTTTTGCTTCAATCCTCAACCTTGTTGGTCCTGTCTGGTGTCCAAATCATGCTACTGTTTTTTTCCTGGCCCATCTGAGAGAGACCTGTGGACTTAACAGCCTGCGTACCCCCGTCTTGGGATCCAAATTACCCGTAGCAAGCTGAGAATCAGCATCTCAACCTCTCCTGTGAGAAGGTCCTAGATGCTTTCGTTTCCATACCCTTTTTCATGGAGGTGGACAAAAGCCACTGGATTGCAAAGCAAAATGTAGGGAGGGACCTGAAAGTTTGCGGTGAGGAAGCATCCCTACCCTGCCCTGGTTTTAACAATGTTGTGCTATTTTGGCTTCCTATTTACTGAATGGTTGGAGCCCTGTGTTCCCCTAGCCCTCCTCCTCCATGTGTCTTACCCTAATGCGTTAGGAAAGGAATAAACTGCTGAGCTTGTGGTTGCACCATGAAAACTGTGTGTCCTTGGCCCTCTGCATGCTGACAGCCCAGCTCCTCCCAGGCCCCCAGATGTAAGCAGTGTGTTAGGTGGGCCTCAGTGCCACTTCTCAGCAAAGCTGTTAGCATGGGCTTGGTTTTGTCCCACCTGGTGTGGTTTTTTGCTCACAGTGTAGGTAGGACAGGCTGGGCGTTGCCTGCTCAGAGTACCCCGCTGAGCGTGGATGTGGTTTGCAACATGGAGAATTAGAACAGTTTTCAAAGGAGCTTGGAAGATATTGAGACTAGGCATCTTGTGAAATCCCCTGTGCAGTGGACACACATTTCCTATTTAGTCCCTTTAAAAAGCCTCAGCTCAGCTGCTAGTTGTGATTCTCCTTAGATTCGGGATGGTAAAAGGATCCTTAATTGGGGATATACAGGGAGGAGTTGTTGAATGCTCTCAAAATTGCTGTACCTGGTATCTACTGTCTTGCTAGGCTGAATACGAGGAGCTCTATGCTCTCTACTCCGAGGAGAAGGCCCAGGTGTCCCTGCTGCAGGAGAAGCACGAAGTGCTTATCCAGGAGTACTCGCAGATTGCGGAGGAGCGCAGCGTACGTCAGCAGAAGCAAAAACAGGATTCGGATGAGTTGGTCACCATGACCCTTGCTGCCACCCGCATCCAGGCCTTCTGGAGGGGATACTTGGTTCGGTCGCTCTTCAAGATAAAAAGGAAGAAGAAAAAGAAGGGAGGGGGCAAGAACTTCAGATAAGCACAGAAATCTATTATCTCTCCTCCATTCCTCCTGGCAAAGCTGCTGCCTCCTCTGGCTATTCTGGATAAAAGCGTTAGCTGAGAGCGCCTTTGCAGTCAAGTCCAACTTTCCAAGGCTGGAGTTGGCTCTCAGAGTGAGAGTACATCAAAAAAGTGGCATAAAGACATGTCTCAGCATTTTATCAGCAGGATGTCTTCTGATGAAGGGACTGTGCCAAGCAGGAGTGTGGATTCCTGACTTGGTCTCTGTGGTCCCTATGCCCAAATTGTGCTTTTGTGTCAGAGCCTAGTTCTGTTGATACTGAAGAGTATCAATAAAATTGCTCCTGAAGGCAGGATGAGGTCCTGTGCCTGACTTGGTTTCTCCTCGTGTGGATTTGAGAGACAATTTGATTTTGGGGGATTTTTTTTTCCTCCTAATTGGCAGCCACAAGAAATTCCAGGGTCCGTGGAGACATTTTCATTAGGATGTCAGTACCCGTGTGGGCAGGTTGGGGTGTATTTGCAACAAGAGAGACATCTCATTTCCAAAGGGGCCTGGGCACCCACAGCTTTGAGTTCCTACCAAGGGAAGGTCTGGATGTGCTTTTTGAGAAGCCCCTCTGTTGCAGGGGCTGCTCGGTGCTCAGACCGATGCCCTTTGGTCTGAGGGTTGTCTGAAATGTGTCAGTTGTCTGCAGATGTTGGAGCCCACCTGGAGAGGCAGAGCAGGAACACCCGCCACAGGGAGCACACCAGCGCAGAGTCCAAATCCAACCGTTTCCAGACACAGGACTTGCCCTTAGGATCTACTTCAAAGTCTGCTAGAGCCAGAGATGCTGGAGCCCGTGGCTGGAGGTCCCTCAGGGCACCTCCTTAGAACGGAAGAAATGCTGGACAGGCTTGTGGGTGTACGGGAAAGGCTCCAAAGCAGTAGAGAGAGTCTGTCTCCATCTGTCTCCATCCAAGGGCCTTCCCAGCCCGGATCCTCAGGCTTGGAGTCAAACCGGGACAGGCTGCAGTAGGACGGAGTGTGACTTTTTGGGCTTTATGAAGAAGCACGAGAGGATCCACACATCCTGACGAGTGCACATAGTTAACGGGCACTGACTGCTGTGGCGTGAGTCTGTGGCCCTGCTGTCACAGCAGACTGCAGGGCCCCTAGCTGGGAAAGGAGCAGAGAGGAGCTGCAGCAACCCCGGCCCGTCTGGCAGCGCTCAGCACGGTGACTTGCTGGCCTTCGTCCCCTGGATTGACTCATTTTTCTAGGGGTGCTCTCAGGTGTGTAGGCAGTGGATGCCACAGACAGGCTCCAAGCCAAGGGTCTCCAGGCTCTTCTCCACCTGGGAGGGTCGAGGCCTGGCAGTGCTGATTGAACCCCTGCAGGGCAGCCAGCCCACAGCTCGTGGGTGCAGGATGTCCAGGTCTCGACCCCGCAGCCGCTTCGGCCCGCGCGCTGCAGGTGAGGAGCTGGGCTGCCCAGGATGCCCCTTTCCGGGGACGTGGTCCTGGCCGGCACTGGGGGTCGTGTTGTACCCAGGACCAGCCCGGGAAGGACCCGCAGGCAGATGTGCTCCGTGGGACGGGTGCTGGCAGGGCTGCAGCCACACATGCAGGTGTCAGCGAGCCGTAATGCGGCTGCAGGCGATTAGGGGAATGAGAGCAGATTGGAGAGATCAGAGAAAGGAGATCCCCTGGGGCTGGCGGGGTGGCACAAAGCTACGGGGACCTTCCTGGCCTCTGGGATACTTGACAGGGGAGCATCTGTCAAAGGTCCCTTTGGCTCTTCAATGATTTCTAGCTGTTTTCCCTCTTCCCCAGATTATCCACTTTGTGGGGGGGTGTTGTATTAAGAGGCACAGTCAGAGTAACCACACTCGCCTGTGGATGGTCGTCCTCAGGACCCTCCCTCCGGCCTGGAGAGCCAGCTAGGAGTATTGCAGGGGCCCTGGGGCTTCTCCCAGAGCTCAGCTGAGGCCCCTGCCCTTCCAAGAAGGAGCTCTCGGGCAGGTAAGGGTTGATCCTTGCTCCTTCGCCGCAGCCTTGCAGGTAACCGAAGCCGGCAGCCTGCTCGGAGGCAGAGCCGGGTTCCTGGGAGGGCAGCGGCTACTGTTACAAGCGGTGTTACCAGACTGCTTGGGATTTTTTCTTGCCTCATCTGAAGTCTCTTCTTGCCTCTCTTGTTATTGCTGGGAACAAAATCTTCAGCTGTGCGAGGTCATAGGTCTGTGGGTCGCTCTGGTGGTGGGATCCTCGTGGTGGTGGATCTAAGTAGCAGCAGGTCCCTGTGGCAGTGGGACACTTCTAGCCATGGGATCCCATGGCAGAGGGTCCTGGTGGTTCTGGGTGCTGGTGGCATTAAGTCTCAGTGATAGTAAGATACCAGTGGCAGAGGTCCCAGTGAAGGTGGGCCCTGGTAGTGGTGGGTCCCTGTGACAGAGGATACTGATGAAGATTGGTCCCAGTGGCCGGGAGTTCCTCATGGCAGAGGGTCCCGGTGGTGGTGGGTCCCAGTGGTAGAGGGTCCTGGTGGCTGTGGGATCCCCATGGCAGAGGGTCCTAGTGAAGATGCATTGTGGTGACAGTGGGTTCCCCATGGCTGAGGGTCCTGGTGGTGGTAGGACCTGGGATGGTGGGTGTCCGTGGCTGAGGGATTCCCATGGCAGAGGGTCCTGGTGATGGTAGATCCCCATGGCGGAGGGTCCTGGTGTTGGTGGGTCCCCGTGGCAGGGGGTCCCCGTGGCGGGGGATCCTGGTGTTGGTGGATCCCCGTGGCAGGGGGTCCCCGTGGTGGAGGTTCCCCGTGGCAGGGGGTCCTGGTGTTGGTGGATCCCTGTGGCAGGGGGTCCCCGTGGTGGAGGTTCCCCGTGGCAGGGGGTCCCCGTGGCGGGGGGTCCTGGTGTTGGTGG